GAGATGTTATTATAAATAACTTTGTCCAACGTTTCAGAGCTAGTAAGTAGGAAAGCTAGGTTTGACTCCATAGCTCATGCTCGTACTCCTTTACAGCCCTAGGGTGCCTTTCATTTATCTATCCATTGATTGATTGGTTCATTCATTCATGAATTCAGTAAGTGTATACTGAGGCTAATTATGTAGTGGTTGTAGGCCATGTTAAGAATTTTTCATTTTACTTTAAGTGTGATGGGAAATCACTGAAGGATTTTAAGTAGGGGAGTGATAGGAGTGGATTTATAATACATTTTTAATCATTCTGGTTTGCATTGTGGAGGGTTGAATGTGATGGGAAAGGAACAAGAATGGAAATAAGGAAACCAGTTTGGAGACTCTTGCAGTAGTCCAGGTAGGAGTGGATGGTGGCTTGGACTTAGGATGATAGTTGCAGAGGAAGGGGATCAGTGGTGGGGTGATAGCGTTTAAATATGTTTGTAATTGTTAAGGCACAGACAGGACATGAGTCAAAATGGATGCTGGCCTGAGGACTGGAGAAAGATCCTAGGATGAGCCATGCTGTGCCAGGCATTACCCTTTTAGTTATTTATTATAAGGAGGTCTGAATTATCTCTGGTGAGGAGTCAGGGGAACTGGAAGGTAAGGTTGATACTTGGGATGCTGAGGCACATCTGCTTACCAAAAATCATTGAAGCATTTCCATATTTTAACATGTGTAAATTCTGTAATCTCTGTGTAGCTAATTAATGTTGGATTTGTTGGTGGATTGGATGTGGGGTGTGGGAGAAAGAGAGAACTTAAGAATGACACCAAGGCTTTCGCCTTGAGCAACTGGGGGAGTGGAAATGCCATTTACTCAGATGGTAAAAACTGGTGAAGGAGCAGGTTTGCGACAGAACAATCATGGTTTTAGTTTTGGCCGTGTGAGATGATTATTAGACATCCAATAGAAATGTGAAGAAGTAGTTTGAATTTATGAGAGATTGTGGGGCTGGACATATAAGTTTGGGAGAGATCAGAGTATAATTCTACCCTGTGTGATTATATAATAGCTTTTTTCTCTCAAAAACCTGACTCTCAGCAGCCTGTCACTAATGCCTGAAGTTATAGCACTAGAAATTTATTTATGCTCTATGGTTTATTAAACTTTACATAACTTGTGGTGAAAGTAGCATATTAAATCTTTAAGAAGGCCCTTTGTAATGTGAATTAGTTTATTATACCCTTTTAAATATAGCTGAGACCTGCTACCTTCAGAAGATTCCCATATTGATTGAGAGAAATTATACAGGGAGAGTTATGCAGAGATATTGCATGAGATACCAGATTATGAAGTGGTAGAAGTTTTTTTTTTAATGGACATATTTTTATAATAAAGGGACTCTTGCAAATATCACATATTCTCACTTACATGTGGGAGCTAAGATAATTGATCTCATGGAAGTAGAGGGTAGAATGATGGTTACCAGAGGCTGGGAAAGGTAGGGGGAAGATGAACCGAGATTGGTTAATGGATACAAAATTACAGTCAGATAGAAGGAATAAGTTGTAATGTTCAATAGCACAGTAGGGTGA